GTAGTAGCCGTAGCTTTTGTTCGTCGTCGTACCCACTCAACTCGCATGTGTGGACGAAATGCCTCATGTACGTGGTGAAATCTTGGCCTGGCTGATTTCCGAATGTCTCAGGAAGCAAGACTGGCTTCGGCAGTGGACGTGCATGTGGTGTGTCTGTGTCCGGCAAACGAAAACGATGGGACAACCCTTGTACCGGCGAACTGTCGCGCTCTTCAGCAATGCTCATGTCACAGCCAGCTTCAGCGAAGCTACGCTCTAGCTTTTCTTGTCTCTTGGATTTCGCTGAACGGCCCATTGTGAAAAAAAAAATTGTTTTTGTATTTTTGAATTTTCGAAAAAAAATATTATCTGCAAAAATTTCCCGTGGACTCGATCGACTATCGATCTCAATCTATTACGTAACCTATCGTGCGTAGCGGCAAACAACTAAATTTGGCAGAGACAATTCCAAATAGGCAACTACTCTACGGACACCTGGACACAGTGTAGCTAGACTCTACTACCCAGCTAGCAGATATCCTAACAAGACACTAGACAGCAGCCAGTATGCACAAAACACGGACACAGAAAATGTTCCGAAAATGTTTGGCCAGACAGGTTGGCGCCAATGCTTGACCTATGGACTGTAAACCATGGTAAACAATGCATGCAACAAGAAAACGACGAGCAGAAAGAAACACAGTGCAGAAAGGAAAATAATGACGAAGAGAGTGGATGAGGATATGGTTTCACTTGCGTGGGCCTTCGTGGTACTTCATAGTCGGCGATCTCCGAAGGCGTACATACTCCGCCAGCGATGTAGTGGTGGACGGTTTCCGCTGCCACCAGTGTTAGCTGCTCCCGGCTAATGATGCCCCCTCACACCGGAACACAGGGGTTTTATGATTGGATAATTTATAGAAGTATTCGAGAAGAGTGTAGACAAGGAGAACAGGACAACGACAACTCAAGACGGACTACAACAGAACTGGAGCATGCGCTCTTCTATGTGAGTGCTCATTGCCAAGGGGAACGAGCGGGAAATACAAATAGTGAGTATTCAGGTCGTAGCATACATACACCTATTACACTGCCTCTAATGTAGTATGCGCGGTCCAAGGGCAAGGAAGGCCTCTACCCACACTCAGTCACTCTCAGCACTCAGCCTCTACCCACACTCAGCCACTACCCACACTCAGTCACTCTCAGCACTCAGCCTCTACCCACACTCAGCCACTACCCACACTCAGTCACTCTCAGCACTCAGCCTCTACCCCGGCACACTCAGTCACTCTCAGTCACTCAGCCTCTACCCACACTCAGCCACTACCCACACTCAGTCACTCTCAGCACTCAGCCTCTACCCCGGCACACTCAGTCACTCTCAGTCACTCAGCCTCTACCCACACTCAGCCTCTACCCACACTCAGCCACTCTCAGTCACTCAGCCTCTACCCACACTCAGTCACTCTCAGCACTGAATGTAATGGAACTTCCTCCGGCACGGCCTGGACAACAACTTATTCTGAACTATCTCTCTCTCTCTCTCTCTTCTCTCTCTCTCTCTCTCTCTCTCTCTCTCTCTCTCTCTCTCTCTCTCTCTCTCTCTCTCTCTCGCTCTCTCTCTCTCTCTCTCTCTCTCTCTCTCTCTCTCTCTCTCTCTCTCTCTCTCTCTCTCTCTCTCTCTCTCTCGTGGTAGTATCGGTACTTGCTGATCTATGAGTGTCAGAAAGGATGTCACTGGATGCAGGCAGGTATAACCATCTGTTGGTTACCTCAAGACAGATTACTGTCGGCAACTGCACAGCAGAAGTGGCAGCTCTTGTCCAGTCAAACAGGGTATCCTTGTGGCGTCGAACGAAGGAGAGTGTCAGTGTACCTGACTTGTCAGGTTTCTCTCTCTTAGCAGTATCAGTACTTACTGATCTAGGCAGGGGTGTAGGAGGGGCTTGGGAACTGGTACGAGCAAAGGACGAACGGGTGTGAAGGAGGGGGGATTGGGGGTTGTCCCCCGGGGAAATTTTTGTAAAAAAAAACACAAAATCCTGTATTCTGGGTACTTTTGGCATATTTTTTACTAATTTTTAGTCATAGAATTTTATTGTTCACGTTTAGGAAACCAAGTTGCCGTGAACCAAGCGTAGAGGGGACGGTTTCAAATAGGAAATAGGTTGCAAATCGGAACGGACTCGGTATTCACTTTCTCTCTTGGTATTTTGATTAGAAAACATATGTCACAGTGAGACTACGATGTGTTTTACTACGAGCCAAAATGTTATGGCTCTGCGATGACCAGAAGCGCCATACCAAGCAGGTGAGTTTTTGACGTGTTGCTTCGCACTGCGACTTGAGTTTTACGTCTTTCGAAAAATCAACTTCTTGCCGCAGGTAAACAGCGGCTCGCCTCTCGCCAAGAAATCACCTTATACCAATTAAAACTAATGGCATCACACAAAACTTATTTTCTGTACTGGCCGTCGTGGAGCGATAGCAATCACCTAATTTCAGAACTCGGTGAATTTGATGTGAACTCTAAAACCTTTCCGGTTTGGAGCCACCTCTGATTTGAAGCGAAAAATTGGTCAACTTGGAGGCAATGAGCCAACACAAAGGGCTGGCTCAGTTCGATTGACTCTGGCCTCAGAGCAAACTTCAACATGCCAGTTTCCTTCCACAAACATATTTCGAGTGAACAATCCACGCTGATGATCGGTTTGGGTCTATACAAATTTGGATGTCAAACCATTCCGGTATTGAACCGTCCTCTCTACCTAATAGCCGTGTCGAGTCCAGTATGAGTCAAACTCAAACAAAGATCTGACGGGTCCCGATTTTTTATCACGGTTTTGCACGTTTCAGACGGACCACACTTTTGGAAAAGTGGTACGGCCATGGTCGTACCAGTCGTAGCGGGTCCTACGCCCCTGCTTTGAGTATCAGCAAGGGTGTTGTCACTGTGAATCTCCTTCTTAATACATTTTGTATGTGGGCCTCCGTGTGTGTGGGTGTGTGTGTGCGCGCGCGCGTGTGTGTGAGTGTGGGTGTGCGTGTGTGTGTGTGTATATGAGCCAGAGCGCGCTAAAACATGACCACGGCTTTTTTGGAAAAGTCGAGAAATTCGCTATTTGAATTCCGCGGCAAAAATACGAAGTGCAGTGCAACGCGAGTCGCTGTTGTTGTTCTCCTCGGTCGACTGGACTGTTCCGGATGCATTTCTTTCTTGCAAGTAAGTTTATTTGTTTGAGTTTGTATTCCATGTTGCGCGGAGTCGCCTAAAACTGATCGTCATCGATGTACTGACGGACGAGCCTAGTAGTAGTAATGTACTGCGGAGCGGAAGAAGACGACATCCTCGCACTCCACGCGCAGGATAAAATATTTTGAGGATTCGGGTCGGAAACAGAAGGAAGACGATGATGGCTACAGCGACGAGTCATTTGAGGGCGACACTTTCATCGAGCGTAAAATAATTGATGCTGGGAGTCCCACGATTTGCAGTGACAAGGAATTCTAATCTGATGACAACCTGGCAAGCGATTGGCATCGACACTGACTTGGGATGTGAGTCGGCCGGTGATTTGGCCAGAATGGACATCGCTGCACATGTCCGGGACAATGCCAGTATTTGTTGCAAGTGCAAAAACAATCAATTGACTCTGCTGCTCCCTCAACTTGCTCCAGTCGATAATTTGAGAACCCTTATGCGAAACATCGCTAGCACGAGCAGTAGGCAGCGAAAGCAGTACACTCTGAGGAGCGGAGAAAACCGTGTGCAGGTGGACTTTGGAGTGGGGAATACGAGTGCGACGTTGAGTATGTTGAGGAAGACTGTGTGCAGCAGTGTATACTGTATATCTGAAAGTACAGGTGGAGTGTGTGATGGAGAGGACGTGGAGTGCCAACTTCTTCGGCCATCTACAGATGTTGACCGTGTTTCGCTGGCGGTTCTCCAGTGGTGCACGAACCAGGAGGTATTTCAGACACCCAGCTAAGCTGCCTATAGAAACTTTGGATGTGGCCGAGTACCTGTCAGCTCATGCTATACAACCCTAGACAGAGGAACTGACCCGGAAAGGATGAACCAAGGGACATCTCAACTGTGTGCAAAAATGACAATCCCATTGCTGTACATAGAATTTCACCATTTCAACAGTGCTGCATATAATACCATTCTAGCAACACTTAGACATGTCAGATCAGTCCAAAACTTTCAGACAGCGAACATTAGGTGTGTTTGATCATTTTTGAACAAAAAACTGAAAATCGAATTTTTGGTCTGTGGTCATATTTTAGCGTGCTCTGGCTCATATATATATGTGTGTGTGTGTGTGTGTGTGTGTGTGTGTGTGTGTGTGTGTGTGTGTGTGTGTGTGTGTGTGTGTGTGTGTGTGTGTGTGTGTGTGTGTGTGTGTGTGTGTGTGTGTGTGTGTGTGTGTGTGTGTGTGTGTGTGTGTGTGTGTGTGTGTGTGTGTGTGTGTGTGTGTGTGTGTGTGTGTGTGTGTGTGTGTGTGTGTGTGTGTGTGTGTGTGTGTGTGTGTGTGTGTGTGTGTGTGTGTGTGTGTGTGTGTGTGTGTGTGTGTGTGTGTGTGTGTGTGCGTGTGCGTGTGCGTGCGCGTGCGCGTGCGCGTGCGCGTGCGCGTGCGCGTGCGCGTGCGCGTGCGCGTGCGCGTGCGCGTGCGCGTGCGCGTGCGCGTGCGCGTGCGCGTGCGCGTGCGCGTGCGCGTGCGCGTGCGCGTGCGCGTGCGCGTGCGCGTGCGCGTGCGCGTGCGCGTGCGCGTGCGCGTGCGCGTGCGCGTGCGCGTGCGCGTGCGCGTGCGCGTGCGCGTGCGCGTGCGCGTGCGCGTGCGCGTGCGCGTGCGCGTGCGCGTGCGCGTGCGCGTGCGCGTGCGTGTGCGTGTGCGTGCGCGCGCGCGCGCGCGCGCGCGCGTGCGCGCGCGCGCGTGCGTGCGTGTACGTGTGTGCATGTGTGTTCGTGCACACTTGCAATGTTTGAATGCATGCAACCGTATTCCAAACTCCAGAGGGCTGTGGCTAAGGGAGCAACGGTAATCAGACAGCCACAAGAGCTGGAAGATTCGAATGGAACCGTAACCCTAGCAACCGTCAGAACCGTGAGTAAAATTTCTTTGTTTGAGCACCCCCCCCCCCCTGACTTAATTCACATCAGCCTTGCAGTTGAAAAAGTTCAAAGTGAAAACATGAATAGCTCAAGGCTATACAAACCAAACAACCATGGTCAATTTCTACAACGACATACGTGTGCTACCAGAGGGGAAGAAGGCGATCCATATTTGCAGGAGGTTTTTTCTGTTTTCAGGCAGTTCACTTCCCCGACTGATCCTTCGAATTTTTTAAAAGTTCTCTGGATTCTTTGAAAACGTATCACTTTCTTTGACTGTGGTTGGTTCCCTGAGGGGTGGAAAAGAAGATCCTAGTGGCGTGGCATGTGTTGTAAGCTGCCTTTGTGGTGATAAACTTGTCAGCGCCATCTAGGGTCGGCCTGGTCCCATAGCTCAGATGGCTAGAGCATTGCTCGTGACAAGCAAGGTCCCGGGTTCGTGTCCTGGTGGGTTTGCATTTTCCTCCCTTTCCAGGTAGTTAACTTACCCGACTGATCCGTTGTATTTTGAATGATGATTATTACCCTATTAGGTGAAGAGTGTATACCATGTAGAGGGTATACCATGTAGAGGGTATACCATGTGGAGTTGTGGAGTTGTGGAGTGTATACCATGTGGAGTGTATACCATGTGGAGTTGTGGAGTTGTGGAGTTCACAGGCATAAAAACATTTCTCAAGAAACAAAACGGTGTTGCAAAGTCTGTGGACTGTTCTTGTAGTCACGCAACAATCACGAAGTCTTTGATTACATTTAGGGCATTCATTCAAGCAGCATCCAACAGAAAGAGAGTATGACTGTACCGGACCCGTCATATTGAAATTAGAACCAGGTTGTTAAATACAATGACACATTGGCGTAGCTGGATTGAGTGAAGTGGTATAGCTGGATGGAGTGAAGTGGTATAGCTGGATGGAGTGAAGTTGTATAGCTGGATGGAGTGAAGTGGTATAGCTGGATGGAGTGAAGTGGTATAGCTGGATGGAGTGAAGTGGTATAGCTGGATTGAGTGAAGTGGTATAGCTGGATGGAGTGAAGTGGTATAGCTGGATTGAGTGAAGTGGTATAGCTGGATGGAGTGAAGTGGTATAGATGGATGGAGTGAAGTGGTATAGCTGGATGGAGTGAAGTGGTATAGATGGACTATGTAGTAGGCCATGTGTGGACGTGGAAACATGTTTTTTAAATCGTCCACGTTAGAGCGGTCCTTCATTTCGACCAGACACACCTCCTGCGTGGATGTTTAACCCTTTAGAGTTTCACACATACATGAACCGGTCGAAAACGACCGGTTCGACTGACGTACTTAGAACTATGCGGGATGCGTACTCGCTGGTGCTACGAAGCTGCCGCTATGGCCAAGTCTGCCTGACACCTCCGCGTTCCGCTTGAGTGCACACATGGCATGGGTTTACATTTGATTTTTTTTGTACTGGGCCACAGGAAGTGTTCGAAAGCTTCCGCCATGGCGCACAAGAATTTATCTGTTGACGAAGCGCTTGCCGCTGTGTTTTCTCATTCTGGATCGGCCGCGCACGATGAAGACTCTGATGGCGAGTCGTCAGGTGGCCTGCCATCAAGCGAAGAGTCAGAGCTAGACGATGCTCTCATCTACGACCATCCAGTTGAAGATTTGGTCTCTGACGGCAGCGCTGATGATGGCGAAGAAGAAGCTTCAGAAGAACCGCTTTCAGCTGGCTTGTCACGCTCCTCAGCTGACTCGAGTGACACATCAGCTGATTCCAGTGAAGAGGACGAGGCGCGCCCGCGACGCGAGAGCAGAGCTCCCACACGGCAGAGAGGACAAACTCGAGCTCCGCGTGCTCCTCGTGGCGGAGTTCGCGGAGTTCGCGCTGCAGGCGGCGGACGTGGAAGAGTTGTGCGCGGAGGTGCCGCAACCGCTCCTGTGCAGGGCGAAGACAATGTCGGCGACTGGGATAGTGATGATGAGTGTCCTGACCAGCCTGAGTTTCGTCCTGCCCGTGAACCTGGCTGCCATTTCCCAGCTGATTTTGCGCCTGTGAAGGAGTTGGATTTCTTTCAACTTTTTTTCACACTTGGCATCGTTCAAGCTATTGTGGAGTTTACTAATGATAATGCTGGTATACACATCCTGGAAAAACCATCCTATCAAGATGACCATGGCGCTTGGAAGCCCACGGACACAGCGGAAATTTATGCTCTACTTGGCCTGACAATTTACATGGGTATTGCTCGACTGCCACATCTATCTCACTACTGGAGCACATCTACTCTCTTTCATGGGCTGTGGGCACGGCATATGATCCCGACCTTTATTCGCTACAAAGCTCTGCTGTGTTTCCTCCACATTGTCGACCCCACTACTGAGGATGCGGCTGACAAGCTACGGAAAGTCCGCTTGGTGAATGATCATTTCCAGCAGAAGTGCCGGGAACTTTTTCAGCCTTTCCAAAGTATTGCGATCGATGAACGGATGGTCAAGTCAAAAGCACGCTTCGCATTCAAGCAGTACATCTCAAACAAGCCTGTTCGCTTTGGATTCAAAGTGTTTGCCCTTTGCGACAGTGCCCTGCACTATCTTTATAACTTCAAAATCTACACTGGCCGTGAACATGCCGGCCAAGTGGATCATGGCTTGGCACATAATATTGTTACAGAACTCCTTCAACCTCTGTCTGGCCAGGGATATAAGTTATACACTGACAATTTCTACACTTCTCCTCACCTGTTCTCTGACCTCTTTGAAAATCACAAAACTGCTGCTGCTGGAACCTGTCAGGTCAATCGACGGGGCTTCCCTGCTGTCCTCAAAAATACGAAAACGTTTCAGCGTAGAGCTGAAAGAGGGAAAATGCGGTTTGTACGCGGTGGAGACCTCCTTCACCTACAATGGATGGACAAACGTCCGGTGACAGTCATATCCACTATGCACAGCGCTGCTGACTATGTCAATATCCACTATGCACAGCGCTGCTGACTATGTCAATGTTACAAGGAAGGTGAAAGAAAATAACATCTTGCGTGACCTGGAATTGAAGAAGCCAAAATTGATACATGACTACAATTTCGCTATGGGTGGAGTGGACCTGTTCGACCAGCACGTAGCGACGTACAGGGTGCTGCGGAAAACACGCAAGTACTGGAAGACTCAGTTTTTTGACTTTGTGGATGTAGCTG